CAAAGCTACTATATTAAATATCATAGCTACTCTTTTTTCTATCAATATCTATTAATTAACTATAATTGTATATATTAAAGCTACTATATTAAATATCATAGTTACTCTTTCTATCAATATTCTGCTAATTAACTATAATTGTAAATATTAATCTCTTGCGCTGGAATGACGTGCCACGTCGAGAATTTTTCATCCAAAAATTGCTATATTTTCTCAATTTTAAGTATATATATATATAAATGTAACCCGGGCAGAACAAATGATAAGTATATTATTTCTATAATAAGTAGTTTATTATTATATATATCATTATATAACTGTTTATTATTATTACGTAATAGTATGTTTATTATTTCTATAATAAGTTCACTACTTTTTAATAATTTCTATCCAGTGATGTCATACCGACGAGTTGAAATGGGAAAGAAAGCAACGAATTATTGTATATTTGTGTGACCGGGTTCGGTCACTCGTTATGGTCCGCGAATCAGTTGCCAGCGCAAGAGGTTAAGCGTACATGCGTTCAGTGTTCCGAAGGACGTCAGAGAGCGACATTTACAAACGGTTTGGGGTTACGAACACGATTGTATAGTAATTCAAGAACGAGTCTTTTGGGAAATTGACGTGTCTTTTAAAGATTTATATAAATTGTTACGGAACGTTGTTTGAGACATTTGATACGCAAGTTTAAAGACGATCCCCTTTATTAATACGATCAATAATTATCTGTTTGTGTACTTTACGAAATATCTCCTAATCACCACATTACTACTCGTAATATTCTCAGATTAGTTTCTCAAAATTGTTCCAAGTGGCATCCGATTACTTCCACGAGCCTGGGTTATACCCACTTACAAAAGAGTAGGTAACATTTATCAAAGCTCGACCTAATATCGTTCCCCTCGTTGCACAAACAGTTGCCTGTTTCGCCGTATTCAGATCTTGTTGGTAAACAGACAAGTGCCATGTCTCTCCCTTGATGAACGCGCCCCCGTGTACTTTGTTTTACGTTTCACGTTCCGCTTGATCGCATTGTCGAGCAAGCGTGAGAACTGTTGCCTGTCGTTTGCGCGCGATTTTAATACATATTTAGCGTGGCAAGGATCGACGGTGGAGTAATGGTCTCGTGGATAAAAAGGCGGCTAACAACGAGGAAAACGCCTCGTAAAAGGTAATGAATTTACGGACGCGTTTTCCGTAATATTACACGCTGTATTATGGCACGACGCCAGCCAACGTCGACGAACCGTTGGCTAAAGGGAACGGGAGGGGGGTTTGGAGGAGAAAGGAAAATAATAAAAGGAAGAAACAACGCGAGCGTGTAAAAAGTTAGGCGAGCGAAGGCCGCGCAGGCGTAAGCCGATTCGGAATGCTGCATGGACCGACGCCACGTATTATGAAAGGGGGGCATGTAATATCACAGTGATTAGTTGCCGCGTAGAACAATTATTGTAGAGTGAAATCGGCCGCGAGGGAGGCCGGCTTGGCGAATTACGCTGTACTCAGAACGATTATTGCCGCATTAATTTCTCTTTATGCGTCTTGTTGCAGGTCCGAGCCGCGGAATAATTCGGAGCAACGACGCTTCCCCTCGCTTCCTTCCACGAAAACGGCCTCCTATTATTAGGCTGCCGTTGAATACCAGACGACCGCAATAAGCAAAACTACCAATTCCAAAAAGGGAAAAGAAAAGAAAAAGAAAGGAGAAAAGGAACAAGTAAGTAGACGAACAATTTATACACCTGTGTATATTACTTTTCTTCTTTCTCTGCGTATACCTGTTTTCTTCCTTGTTTCCTCCTTGGCTGGACCTTTCGTTTCACTGTGTTTCACGTGTGCTTTGTACCTTTTTTTTTTCACGCGTCCCTGTGATTCGTTAACTCGTAACTTCTCTCGGAGAAAACGCTAGGCGCTCACCGGCCGCCCGTTATTCGACAGTAAAATATTCCCGACTAATTCTTCCTATTTCCACGCTGGCCCGTGTGAAGTAACGAGCGCGAGGAGAATATATTCCGACGCGTAGGGTTCCCTCGGCGAAAATTATTAACCCTCTCGCCACGCACGTCGAGAACCCTTTTACGCCGAAGTTGCAACATTTTCTCAATTTTAAGTATATTTAAGTACAATCCAAGCAAAGCAATAATAATAAATTTATTACTTTTCAATCATTTCTATCCTAGTGGTGGTGTCGTACCGACTTTCTTTTCAATAGAAAACAGGAGAGCGACGAAATTTATTGCGTACGGTTCGGTCACTCGTTATGGTCCGCGCGCACGCGTATACGCAACTACTGGCTCGTGACCGGAATTGTTTGAACAGGTATCAAGTATTCAATCGAATTAAATTTCAATTTGTTTATACACCCTGTGTGACGAAATGCTCACTTTATCGAGCATTATCATTGGTTATGCAAGGGCTGGGGTCGTGTATGTAAAATTTCACGCAGAAAGAAAATTTTCGTTGATTTTATCTTATCGATCGTTTAAGGACTTTCTTGCGTTTTGTGATCGAAACACGTTCGTCAACGCTCGACTCTCTGTTTACGCTTGGGCGATGCCTCTTCGTTTTGTTCTTCCTATCCTTTTCCTTCCGCCTTCTCCAAAGTTTCCTCCAATCTCGAACCGGAGAAGTGCCGAAATGCGCGAAAGCATGCAAACTGCGTTACGACGATAATGGGCGTAGTAAATAAGCAAGTGCAGGCTAAATTATAGCTGTCCCCCATTCCACCCTTCATCCATCTTTTCCACTGCTCCTGCTTAGAACGAGAGGTAGAGGAAAAGAGAGAAAGAGAGAGAGAGGGTGGAAGAGAGGGACAGCTGCTGAAACCACTTAACTTAACGAATCCTGCGGATAAAGGGTTATACCTCGTTGCACAAAGGAGAACACTCGAAAAAAATATAATTAAATGCTTTATTCATAATTCTCCTTTACTCTCTACTCTTTCGTCCGCCCTTCTCCCAAAACGTGTCCCCCTCTTTCTCTATTCTTTCATCTGCGTTTTCTCTCTTTGCTTTCTTTTCTCTCTTTCTCCTGCGCGTGTGTTTCTCTTTTGCGACACAGGTAGAAGAGCACACCGAGCACACTCGCGCGAATGCAAACGAATATAAAACAATCGTTCGGTATATATATATATATACCCCGGGTATATACGCGACAAACGAGCCTGAGCATTCGCGTTATTACGCACGGAGTCGCAGGTGCGTAACAGGTCAAATTTATCAGAAGGGCAAGAGGGTGGTGGGCGCGCGCATTCGTCTAGTCGTAGGGGGAAGCGAGGGAAGGTAAGCAGCCCAATGAAAATATAGAGTTAGGGAAGTGGAGAAAAGTCATGCACCGGTGTGAAACAGTTCTGGAGGCGTGTGTCACATAGTTAGCTATTCTGGGGGGGGGGGGCTGGTTTCAACCTTTCCCCTCCCCCCCTGTTTCTAACCCCGTCGCTCTCTTCTTCTCTCTATCAGCCTGGTCGTCGAAATTACGTTTTCGAGTCACTTCACCGAACGAGATTTGCCTATGCATCGAGAGAGGGAGGAAAAGTTCACCCTCTATCGGCGGAATTTTTGCAATACACTTTTGAATAGCCGCCATTGCTTGTGCTCGACTGAGCCCCAAGCTTTTCAACGGAGCACAAACACGTACACGTACACGTACACACGGAACAGAGGCGAACAGAGAGGCAGACAGACGCGCACGCGCGCGCGTGTGTGTGTGTGTGTGTGTGTGCGGACGTTAGGGCGCGAGAAAGACAGAGCATAAAACGCGAGACAGAGGGATGGGGACCGAACGTACAGAGAGTGATAACTATTCCCTCCTGAAACTGCATGTTGCCTTGTTGCCTGCAGGAAGAAAAGCTGTTCCGGTGCAAATTGAACGGTACCGTCGAGTATATAATTTGCACGTAACAAATTCGTTATCATGCCGTTTTCGCGGCGTTGATCAACCGTGCTGTGTCTTCACGTTAAATTTGTTTCACGGTTTATCCATCGATTTCATTTGCGAGATATACAAATCGTTCTTATGTGATCGACCTCTTGCGCTGGAAATATTTTCTTGCCCCAAAATTACAATATCTTCTCAGTTCTAAGTATATCTAAGTGAAACAAAATAAGGCAAAGCAAATAATAAATTCATTACGTCGCAATAATTTCTATCTGGTGATCTATCATGCGATATCGGCGTGTTTAAAAAGAGAGCGACGAGTTATTGTATATTGTACGGTTCTTCGGTCACTCGTTATGGTCCGCAATCAGCTGCAACTGCTTAAAACCTGTTCCCGTCTATTTTCCATCGATTTTCGATATTCAATTGGGGGATTTCGATCGTCAAATTATATTGTTTATCTACGAAATTCTATATAATATATACAAACAGGTCTCTTGACACAATTCCAATGATTGAAATCTAATTGATCGCGATGGAATCACGTATAACCTGCGACGTGTGCGTTTGTGAATCAAAACTCGTCGTTCCCTGGTATAATTAAAAAAAAAAACACACACATGTGTATTCACATCGTATGTATCGATAGGAATGCTAATTCGCATATTATTATTGCGAAACCCGCGCGATAAAGTTACACATACGGGGGGATGGGCGTTGAAAATAATGGGGTCCTCCATCGGGGCTCTCACTCGACTCTCCATCCGCTATTCGCGGCCGAATATTTTCCTACACGGAAATATTCGTCGTAATAATTATTACGTTCCGTCGCGCATATGTGTCCAATGAAACACAGAGGACTGGTGGCACAAAAGTAGAGCCATGCGCAAAGGAAAGAAAAGAAGGCACACAGCGCGAACGAAGGAGAGCAAATGAACGAGGGCTTGGAATAGAAGAGTGGTGGGAGTAAATAGAGGACATGTACACCCGAGTCTCTAGCCTCGGTGTGTATAGTATAGTCGCACGCGTCCCCGGTATCGAACGAAAATGTCGGTGGAAAAAAGAGGGAGAAGGAAGAGGACGGGTGGGTGATAGGCGCGAGAAGGACGAAGTTACTGCTGCCGGCGAAACTGGCGCGATTCCAATGAACGGAGAAAGAAAAGAAGAGAGGAATACACAGGTACACGTCGCGACACAAAACGGGGGTCCAGTCATTCTCGAAATAGGCGGCTGGAATGTCAGTTCTTGGCGGAGTGTGAGACAAAGACATATAGATAGAAAGAAACCGGGGGAAATAAAACGAGAGCGCGCGAGAAGAGTGAGAGAGAGAGGGGGAAAGAAGATTCCTACCTATCCACCGCGTACTCTGCTGCTGCTGGCTGCCGCGCCATCGCCTGTTCCCCCGAGTCGTTCGCCCGTTCTTGTCCCTTTCTTGATTCTTCGTTCTTTATAATACGGACACAGAGAAGGAGAGGAGAAGGCCACCCATGTCTCTAGGCCACGATCTTGGAAGACGGTGAGCAGCAGCCAGTCGGCACAAAGGGGAGAAGAACGACAAGCACGACAAGCGGGCCACCGAGAAAGATACCGATGGCATTTAATAGCTTACCTCAGAACGTTTTAGATAATGACTGGCTGAACCTCGGAGTGCCTTCTTTCGTTTGATTCCGACCGTGGCTGGGCGCGGCGCGAGGAGGGGGTGGTTACGTTTTCTTTCTCTTTCGAACGAGGGGAGATAGATGGACGAAAAGGGAAGTGCACTATTCCCGTGTCTTGTTGCCGAAGAGATGAACGAAACAGAGAAAAACGCCGAGTGAAATGAAATGATTGATAACCACTCCTTTTTTTTTTTTCTTTTTTTCTTTTTTTTCTCCCTCCCTTTCTTTCTTTCTTTTTCTCGTTTCGCCAACGTGTATAAAAAGTAACGCGTAACTGAAAAAGTAAAATTAATTGCACGCGGGGGTTATCGTTCGTTCGAACGGAGGAAAAAAACGAAAGGACGAGCGACACGAATGGGGACGAGCGTGAAATATTTTTTTACTCCATTAGAACATTCTTGATAAATATGAGCGAATTTTTTTCTCCCTCGCATTAAAGTACATATATATTTTTTTGCCCGTGAGGTTAAAAATTATCGAAAATCATACGAATTGTGTACCGCCGAGAAAAACGTGCATTGACTCTCCTAGTAATTTTTCTTCCGCCGTGTACACGTACATTTCGCGGATGATACGAGAGATTAAAAAAAAAAAAAAAAAAAGGAAAGAATAGCAGAGGAAAACAGTAGCTTCTAACATTATCGGTGTTTCGTTTCCGCTAGTTTTTTTCTGCACGCGTTTCCGAACTAACCAGTCCGCCCAGAAAACTCGATGAAGTGGGAAACACGCTGTTTAAACAAAACTGGCAGAAGAGGGGGAGGGGGGGGGGACAGCTGCGTGGAAGAAATGTTTTTCACATTTGTTTAAATTGAAACGTAGCGTAGCGTTCTGGTTGAACGGTGGAAAAGCGCTGGAAACGTTTAAAATTCGCTAGTAACTGGCAAACTCGTTCCCTCGCGTTTTTTTTTCCCCTCCTTTCTTAAATTAAGCATTTTTTTTTTCCGCGCATAGACCTCCTTTCTATTTCGTATTTTATATTACATCTTTTATAATAACTACTCTTGTTTCTCTCTTTTCGCTTTTTTCTTTTTCTTTTTCTTTTTTTTTTTTTTTTGTTCTAGCAACGGCAACCGTGCTGCAATTTTCGTTGATAATAGAAATGTCTCGTGAAAACGAGACCAGAGGCGACGTTTCGCAATTCAGACGAATTGTGTGCTTGACAAAATCTCGCGTTTCTCGTAGA